AGTCAAACATACTAAAAATACAAACTTTTCAAAATATTGCTCTCCGTAAAATAATGAACGCCCCACCCTACGTGTCTAATCACACCCTCCATACTGACACCCAACTTAAAACAATTAACGACGAAGCAAAAATTTTTTATAAAAGATTCCATTCTAAACTAAATAACCACCCTAATGAACTTATAAAAAACTTATCTACTCCTTCCATACCTGGTAATCCCCCTCGACGTCTGAAGCGTAAATGGTGTCGTGATCTCTTAACATAAGGTAATTTCAAATAAAAACTGTAATAAAAATTTTAAAAAAAATCCACAGAAAGTGCCTTTGATGGGTGGCTTCTTTCATCAAATTTTCCATGTCATTCTTGTAACTCTTTACAAATATGCTTATTGTGTCTGTTGATACAGATTGTATATTACGTTTAATAATAAAATAAATAAATAAAATAAAAATAAATAAATAAATAAAATCAAACTTAATGATAAACCGTGATTAATACTGGTTTCTCACTGATGATGTAAATATCTTTTACAAAATACATGAATGTTTTTTGGAAGTTGGTTTAATTAAGATTTTTTACTTTTAATTAATGAGCTGTAGATAATTAATATTAATTTTTTTATATTAACTTGATTATTTTTATTTACATAAATAAAGACATAATCAAAATACATAAAGAATTACTTTTTATACATAGGATTCAATAATATTTTTAATATTATATTATTATATTTAATATTATTGAATATTATAATAGCAACTAAAATAATCTGCATTATTTGAAAAAAATCTGGTAATGAGATTTAAAATGTATTGTTCGTAGTATTTAAACTAGGCTCTTATTATTTAATATAATTAAAATGAAATCTATTGTTAATTTTATAATATACAAAATAAACAATTCAAACTATCATTTAAGTGTTATCTTATCTAAAAATAATAAAATATCTCTGGTGTTATGAACAAATTTAACACCACATTAAATATGATTTACAATTAAAAATTTATCATATTTTAGAATTTCTTCCATTAATAAAATATAATTGCAATGGTGTCTTTTTTTTTTTATAATAAAAAATGATCATTTAATAAATTAAAAAAATGCAATCTCTTTAAATAATAATAATAAATATTTTGGTATTATGACTTAATTAGCACTTTAAATATGATTTGTATTTTGTTTTACAATATATAATCTTAGTCAATATGAAAATACAGAATTTATATTTTATACTATTTGTAATGAATAAAAATATACAAAATATGATAGTTTTTTATTTTATTCTTTCACGCAAATATACCAGCAGATCACGATTATTCGTAAGTTTAGTTTAGATCTGTTATTAATGAAACCTCTTATCTATTAATATACAACAATGTGCCTTACTATTTTACTTTAAGAATATCTGTTGACAAAGTCATAATTGATACTTTTTTCTAACTATACTAATGATCAATACTAAATAAGAGTTTAAATTCGTCCTACTAGGTCCTACTAACTAGGTTAAACACGAATACAGAACTTCTTGAGCACATTATTATTGAAACATCTTATCTTACAATAGTGATTTTAATATCTGTTAAAATTAAATCTAAACATGTTTCCTATTTTCCCGACATCTATCCATAGTCGCAACTAGAATAAAACTTTAGGGAGTATTACTATTATTTTTTAACACTAAAACATATTTTTATACAAGATCACATATATATCCCACTTTTTTTGTAAGGTACTTTATTTAACCTCCAGTTGTGTCTTTACATCTAAATGTACTAGATTTTTTGATTATACTTCACTTCACATTAGAATAATCATCTCATTTTTACCCACAAAAAAATATTGAATATATTAATTAAAATGTACGAGAAATTTAGTGTTTTGATTAATAAAAACAAATCGCAGTCATTAATATAATATAAATTTGACTATGTGAATAAAAAAAAAAAAAAAATTCTGTTCTTAAATTAAAGATACCTCTAAAATTATCACAATTCATTAGCCTTATAAAATAATAGTAAAATAACTTTGAAAGTATCAATTTAATTAAGATACATTGAAAAAATGACTTTTCCATAGCAAATGTTAAAACTCGTACATGCGACATATCTTTCTGAAAATGTTAGCATAGTACAGCCAGTTTTTTTTTACATTTGCAAATTTATAGCGCGTACTAGTGACATAACTGTCTCGATATATCAAACTATGTACAGCCCGCTATTTTTATATTATAAGTTTAAAGTCATCATTTGTTTTGAAAGTGTAACATAAATGAAAACAAACTTTCATATATCAATATGACTTTTTATAGGCTGTTCTCAAATCAAATTCGTATATATATATATACATATATACACAGAGTGTTCAACAAGTAAGAAAACCAGCCAGTTGTTCAATCAATGAGAGCAATAGAAACCTGTTCCCTTACTTACTGAACATTCTATGNAACCCGTTCCCTTACTTACTGAACATTCTATGTTATGATAATAAAGAGGTATAATTAATAAAAGAACCAACTTTTTTGTTTAAATTTCATATAGTCAAATATTATTTTCTATTAATAAATGCCCATAATTTTTTTTTATTTAAAATTTTAAATCTCGTATAAAATAATTCGACTATTCAATATTTTTTGTGGGGGATAGAAAGTATAAAGTGAAATTAAGTATATTTCAAAAATCTATTACATACAGTAGTATGGGCGCAACTAGAGGCTATGAGATATTGACATCACAAAAAATGTAGGACACAAATGTGTTCTTAAATAATAATAATTTTTAGGGTAAGATAATTATAATAACACTCACTAAAATTTTATTCAACGTGCCTATAGAAAAGTTTTCGCAAAATGGAAAATCAGTTTAGATTTAACTTTAACAGCGATAAAAACCACTATTGTAATATGTTTCAATACAAATTACATCACTTTTTCAAATTTAACATAAAATGTTGAATTCAAGCTAATTTAATTAATTAATCCGTTTATAATAACTCGAATTTAGGTAGAAAATGTCTATGTGTATTAAATGTCATTTATTTTCATGTTAATTGTAATTATATTATAAAAATTATTGATATTAGATAGCAAAGGCTATATTGTTAGACTAGTGTCATCAAAGGCATATCGCTTTTTCTATGTCCCTAGGAAAGCATTTTTATTAATACAGAATAATCTAATTAAAAGAAAATATATTATACATGTATATTAAATTAAGAATTTAAAAATTTAACGGTTTATATTTAATAAACGTATAAAGTTTTGTTAAAAATTAAAATGTTATACTATTAAAATAAAACTGCAAACATTTCATTTAATGCAAAATATGTATCCTTATTTAAAAAAAAAATGTTGATATACATACAAGGCATTATGGATGAACTTAAAAATTATTATATAGCTAATAATTCTAGAGTTCAAATATAGAATTACTAAAATTTAATAATTAGACGTCATTCTCGACTTAATTTTGATATACTATTCTTACAATTTTTCTGAATTACATTCAATCAAGTTAAGAATATATTAAAAGGTTTATTATAATAAAAAACAAAATGATAAATTTATTATTATTATAAGTATACAGAAAAAAATTTCAGCTAAGGTTTATTAAAGAAATATATGTATCTAATAAAAACTAAAACTTGACTATAATATAATATGATTGTGGGTACGTATCAGATTTTGGATAATGTCACAAAAAATAATCACTAAAACTACTAATTTAGCAATGTCCAAACTTTTTTATTCAAATATTACTAAAATAAAAAAATGTAATTATACCTCATTGAATTTATACATCATTTTTCAAATGTTTTTAATTAAAAAATAATAACTTTTAATACAATTTAATCATTACCATTAAATAATTCATTTGTAACATTATTTTTAACCCTCCTTGAAAAGTATTATTATTTGGTAAACGCTACTACTCGTACTAATATGCAAAATAAATTATAGAACAAAAATTAGTGAGTTAAACATATTAAATAAAATGAAACAATACATGATAAATAAACAGTTTTAATTATTTAAACTCAAAGTAAATATCTAATTAACGTTTCAAAAAATTTAATTAATGTACATTTACATAAATAGAATGTTATATATTTGTCTGGAAAATGTTATTAAAATTATTAAAATATAAAAATTACCTTGATAAATTTCTGTTGTTGGTCATTTCATATGTGTCAAATTAATATTTTAATAAATATATTTTATGACTGGCATTAGTCTGAAAGCTAAACAACAAGTAATATTCATCTTACTGCATTGTGTTATTATTGAAAATTGTATTCGATTTCTAAAAGAAATTGCATCACTGTATATAGTATAAAATAATTTCCCATAACACATTGATTACTTGTAAATACAGTTAATGTTTAAAAGATAAATAATAAAAACAAATTTAATTATTCATTATTATTATAATAAACACGAAAATAGAAATTTCAGTTAATCACAAAGTATTAAAAAACTCAAATTTACTAAGAAAATGTCTATGTGTATTTGTTTCCATAGTAATTTTAACTTTGAATTATTAAAAATACTTTACTATTATAAAAACTATTAACATTAACAATTAGCCAGTATTAATTACTTTAAAGTTATTTATATTTTTTAGCAGAAACAGCATTTATATAATTAGTGTTATAAAACGTTTACCGATCTATGTATTTCATTATCGATGTTGTTTACAGAGTTATAAAATAAAAACAATAAACGAATTACATTTTTAGCTTTCTTTCTTACTAACCATGTATGGTAAAAAAAATTCTATACACTAAATATACAGATTCTCTGTACAAAAATTATATAAAAAATAAAGAATAACTATTTATCAGCTTTAGAATAAAAGACATAAATATATTTAATTATAAATCAATTTCACTATTTTGTTTTTTAAAATTACAAAAATTAAAATAAATATAATATTGAATATTCACTAACCTGTACTCTTTAAATGGCGCACAGGATCCTGAGTTTAATCCCAAGGATGNGCACAGGTTCCTGAGTTTAATCCCAAGGATGCCAACAAAATTATTTTTGTGATTTTCTCATTGGTGGTGTTTGATTTTTGTTGCAAATCAAAGATAATACCCATTCCATTCATAATTGGTTTAGCCAAGAACCATCTTTGACTGAACTTGGTGTTAATGTGAAACATTACATTTTAAATATTATGTGTCAGAAAAAAAATTAATAAAATAAAATTTACAATATTTATTTTTAAAACTGAAGAAAATATTTATAAAAATACAAAATATAAACTATTGAATTTTGTTGAAAGTATGTTTTTGATACCACAGAAACGATTCCCAGTAACTTATTTCACTCACAGCCAACTTTTATTACACTAATCTTTCCTAGTATAAAATTTCAAAGATACAAAGGTATTTTTATATCTATTCATTATGCGGAGAGAACAAATAAATTAAAAATTCATGACAGTCTTTTATTTTAAATAAGTAGATAATAATTAAAAAAAAAACTATTTATTACTGTTGAAAATATATTATTTGAGTATCATCCCAGTTTGCAAAAATCAATTTAAATAATATTGTGAATAATAAATAATAAAACAAATAATAAATGTATCAATAGCGAATAGTTATTATTTTAGTTTTACATTTTATTATCTAGAAACAGTGGAACTTTGATTGTCAGTCTCTGCTTTAAGCACAGCCAAGATCATACACAAGATGTTGTGCATAATGAACTAAACTATAATAAATGTCTCATTTGGAATTGTTTAGAGTAATTCTAACAAAACAACTATCAATGAAATCTACATCAATTGGATAAAAAACAATAGTGATTTATAAATTATACCTTTTGCTTTATTGACAACTTTATCAGTTTAATTTTCTATTTCTCTTTTAAGTACAATAAGAATACTCTAGAAACATTGTTTAATGGTTTCACAGTTTCTACAATTCCATCTATTATTACTAATGCGCCCATAGTTTTTGTTTTTATGTCCAAGTTTTTATGCAATTCAACTAATTGACAATTCTTTGGGGATGAGAAAAATGAACGTAAATACATTTAATCAAGTAAAAAAAACTTAAGGTTTCCTAAAAAATTTTAATTATTACAAAATTAAATTTTATTATTTTAATAAAACAAACATATTTTATTAATATTGGTTTTTAGTTTAAACATTTTTCACCTATCTGCAACCAAAAGATTTATTCTATAAAACATACCAATTCTTATTCTTGATTGACTCCATTAAATTTCCAGACATGATATTTCCACTGAAATTCCAAACATTATAGGATTGTGAAATTATTTGAGCTTTAATATTTAATTTATAAGTTTCAAAATAATATTAAACACTTGTTCTTCTTTATAAAATCTAAAACTAAAGCAAAAATTTAATAGTAATATTAGTATTTATTAATTATAAATTTTTTTATCAATGCTGATTGTTGAATTTATTACCTTGCTTCATCACACATTATACTATTTACTCGTATACGCTATTTGCACATGGTTCAATTATTTCATTTTGAATATGGTGACTAGTGTAATTTGTTTCTTTGTTAAATATTTCAGAAAATATGGGTATATTCTTGGAAAATAAAACATAGGTTTTGTTGAAATTCCCTAAGAAAAATTATTTAATAAGAAATTAATAATTTTATCTTCACAGTTTTCATTACTTGATTAGATCATTAAAATTAGTTCCCTACCTTGATTTAATGATGATCTGTTTTCATTGTGTCAAGTCAGTCTTTAGATATTCAAAAAATTGTCATATCAATTAGACTTTTCATACATTACCTATTTGCGGCAAATTCTAGTTTAGATTGACTTATTAGCTGGGTATGAATAGTGTCAGTTTTTTTGACAGTTACGTTATAATGTCTTGTCTATTTTGCAATAAGAGTTAAATGAGTTTTTGTAATATAATAATAACATGATCATCCAGATTTGTTAGTTTTCTATTTGCAAGAACTCTAGACCCACATAACTAATAAATATAAAAAACAAATAATAAATGTTAATTTTTGAACAATAATTATACCATACACAAAAATATTCAACCTCATAAAATGAAGCCATGGTTATGTTAATGGAAATGGTATTTGTAATTTAAAACAAGAACTTTTAGACTAGTGCTTTGGAAGATATTCTAATTTTTGTACTTAGGTGGCAGAAGAAGTGTGACCAAATAATGACTAATGATAAAAATAGCAGTAACTATGCTTCACCATCAGTACTATATTTTAAAATTCTAATAACTTTTAAAGTATTGATCCAAAAGTTATTGTCTATAGTTATTTTCTTAATTGGATAATATTCTATATTATAAACTAGTTTAATATGTATGCTGCCATTTAAACAAATAAATTTGACACCCCTGTATAATATATAAAGAATGGACCCAAAATTTATTTCATAACAGGCGTATAGAGATACATATGTAACTAACAAAATCCAAATATTTATATCCTTTTGATTCGTGTAACAAATACTGACAACCGCCGGGAAGATGACGAATAACCAATGCCGAACATTCATATAAGTACACCGTTCCTATAATAGGCTTAATAGTAATTAAAATATATATTTAACATACAATGTAAATATTATGTTGTTAGTTTTATACATGATTTACCTCTAATATGGATTTTTTTGGACCAGACTGTAGATCACCTAAATCAAATTTCAAGTTGCCTGTAGAAGTAATTTCATATGTAGGTTTATTTTATTTATCTTTAGTGACGATAACCAATTTATTTGTTATGTTACTATTAGCAATATTCAAGCTGGGTGTCTAAAAGAAAATTTTAAAATATAAAAAGTGAAAAGACTATACGTAATAAGTCCAACAATAGAATAATTTATGTAATATGACTTTTAATTATTTGATTAGAAGTCACCGCTGTTTCAGGATTTTTTAGTTTAAAGATAAAAAATAATTTTGAACTCATTATTTTATTAACAAATTATTATAAAAGTAAAAAAAAAACAGATCTTCTACAATACAGATTTATTTCTCCGTGTAGTGAAGGTGCAAATTAACATTGATAACGAACTGATAAGTATTCCACAGCTAAATATAGAATTCGTTGAAATAGTGTAATGATATTATTAAAGTCAATATATCGCACAAGCCAAAGATTGTTAACAATAGCATTATCTATGTTACTTCTACCACAGATTATATAATTGAATATACTATTAATATTTTATAGCGTATAGATGGTGATATTTTGAAATGATAAATTCGTTTAACAATGATATAGAGGCTTACACACTAGGCGTTTAATCGCGCGCGTTCGCGTTTCGAACGCGAACGCCGTTCATGTGCATACTACAAGCGTTTTGACGCGTTTTTACAATGAAAATTAGCCCGCCAAAAGCTACAGTATAATCATAACAGATTCGAAATTCCTCGTGGTATCATATGCTCTGATTATTTTTTAATTTTTTAAAGTATACAATAAGTTAAAGTAAGTATGGATACATTAGATAATGTAGAAGTTGCATGTGTTGTATACGCCAAGTATCTTCGCTGTACAAAAAAACATAAAATAAATAAAAAAAACAAGTATTCGTACACCCCTTAATTTTAAAAAGACGTCGAGAAGGTCAATTTCAAGATAATTTTAGCTTCGATGCGAAGCTAAGAAGGTATTGGTTTTACTATATAGTGTTTGTTTTTTTTTTTGTGTGTCTGTTACCACTTTTTCTCAAATCTCACCGAACGGATTTCTTTCAACGATACGTCAAAATATCACAAATCGTATCTAGTCGAAGACATTACCCTCAAAAATTGAAAAATATTCCCTCGTTTCCCGTAAATGGGAGAAACCTCAAAAAAAAAAAAAAATACAAATTTTAAAATCAATTATTTTCGAAATTTTTTCAATTTTTTTTACTATAAACTGCCATAACTTTTTCAAAAATGAACAAATCAATATAACTTTATTTTTCATAGATGCTTGGTATCTTTAACTATCATTTGGTATATTTTTTTCATAAATTTAACCCTTTACCAACCCACAGGAAGGGTTTCAAAATGGTATCTTTTTTACAAAAAATTAACTAATTCAACTTAACTTTTGAAAATGTTCCGGAAGGTCTGACACTTTTATATATATCTTAAATTAAAGCTAACGTAATGTACTTTATTATGGAAAAAAAAATTTCTGACTTTATTTTATTTTCGCGGTGAAAATGGCTACCAAATGCTATTTTTGTGTGAAAATTCTCAATTTTATTTTTTACATTTTTAACTATATAGTGCTATAACTTATTGAAAAGTGTATGTTATATAAATACATTTTTTTTACGAGAAATAATATTTATATCCCTTTATCATTCGACATACTTTTTTGANGTCGGCGCCTCATAATAAACTTGTGATAGTGTCCGGTGGTGGTGGTCGGCCTATGTTCATTTGTATTTTTTTTGATAACACCAGTGTACGTTCCACCGCCAAACAGGCGACGCGCTCGTAATAAATAAAAAATTTTTTTCAACAATAAATAAGAGCGTTCGATTATTTTAATATTAAAATCCCGCTCTATTCCATTAAATGGTCCTTCGAATCGCGATAATTAATTAAATAAAAATAAATAAATTCGTTTTTCGTTTGTTTCGTTGAGTTAAGTTCGTTAAGTTCGTGTAATTCGCGTTTTCAAGTGTTTAAATAATGAAATGTTAGTTAGTGTCTAAAATTAGCCATTGGGTTTTGAGTAACCAAAATACAATGGATGACAAAACAATCCACGATAACGCAACGTTAATTAAAAGGCGTGGCGTATTAAAAGGGCAATTGACAAGATTCCTTAATAATGTATTAGCTGTGAAGTCCGATGGTGGAGATAAAAACAATCTTAAAACCAGAAGAGAAAAAATTGAAGAAACTTGGGTAAATTTCCAAAAAGTCCAAGAGGAAATAGAGGGACTTGAGGAAACAGATGATACAGAAGATGAATATAGAATTCAATTTGAAGAAATTTATTTCGAAGCAGTTACAGAATATGACAAAATAATGAATGAAATGAATCATTCGAACGATGTCGATCAAATTTCACCCACAAACATCATGACATCTACAAGAACAATTAACAACACGTCAAATCAACCATCAATAGTCAACCTAGCCCCACTTAATGTACCAACATTTAGCGGCTGCTACAAAGAGTGGTCGACGTTTAATGATATATTTATCGCTTTAATACATGAAAATGAAGCGTTATCCGATGTGCAGCGTTTTTTCTATTTGAAAAATTCTTTGGCAGGCGATGCATTAAAAGTCATACAATGTTTTGAAACATCAGCAAAAAATTACAAAATAGCGTGGAAAAGTTTAAATGAAAGATTCAATAATGAACGAATTTTAGTGCAACAACACACGAAAGCGATTTATGACCTTCAGTCGATAGACGAGGAATCGTCTAGAAGTCTAAGACAATTTATAGATGAATTAATGGGTAACATGAAGGCTCTGGAAAACTTAGGGCATGACACTAATAAATGGGGTCAGTTGCTAATACACGTCATATTGACAAAATTAGACGAAAAAACTTTAAGAGCTTGGGAAAAACAAGCATCAAAAAACAAAGTTTCAAAAGTCGAAGAATTAATAGATTTTTTGAATAATCATTTTCAAATGTTGGAAGCAGTCGAGAGTGCGACAAAAGTAAATGGTGTCAGTGAAAATAAATTTAAAGATAAAAAGAGAAATAATTATGAACAACAAAAGAAAACTGTGTTTCATTCAACTCAAAAAAAGTTTAAATGCTACATGTGTAATGAAACATCACATGCAATTTATCATTGTAAAAAATTTCTTGAGCTTAACATAAAAGATCGACGTAGTAAAATCAATCAACTCAACATTTGTGAAGTATGTTTATCTCAACAATCAGAAAGTCACGCATGTAAATTTTCTGGATGTAGAAAATGTGGAGAAAAACATAACACATTGCTTCATTTATCAGAGGAAATTGACAATGAAAATTTGATAAGTACTCATATAACATGTATAAATCAAAAACATGTGTTATTGTCAACAGCAATAATAANAATATGTATTTAAATAATGTTTCTGGCTCTTTAAATATGATTGCTTTAAACGAAGATGATGAAAAAAATGTAGCTGAAAAATTATTAGGAGGCTATTAGATTATACATCTTGCAGTTAAAGAACAATTAACAAATTACATAAATGGATATTGTAAACATATGCCGTTTTATGATAATTTAGTTAGTTTCACTCTACCAATAGGTGAAAACGAATATACTACTACTAATCTAGTAAATATAAATAATAATCTCAGGGATGAAATTATGTTGAAGTTTAATTTAATAGTAAAAAGAAATTTATACGAAAATTTACATCCAAAAAATTTTTTGTTTTACGATATAATGACCCAACAGATTCTCAGCAACAAAAATGATACTATAAAAATAGATAATAGTCAACACATTGTATTAAATTTACTACGATTCACTCCACTGAATATTAAATGTTCCGACGGTACTCGTCTAACTATACAAGACGTATTTCAATATATGAAATATGATTTCAATTCTAAGGATGTTTTAGTATACATAAGGATGGTAATTGTGGCTACGTTTCGTCCAATAGCTATTCTTATTCGCAACTTTTTAACCTTAATTCAAGTTACATGATTAAGGAATTCAGGNTTTTTTAACCTTATTTCAAGTTACATGATTAAGGAATTCAGGTAGTGTAGCATACTGGTTAAAACCGACATTAATTAAAATGGGTCGTAAAATAATAGGTTATATAAAACAATTTATGTTTCTCCAATTGTTCGATTATAAACAGACAATTATACGATACGTCTTTCATTGTTTTAAGAAAACCTTAGTTGAATATACTTTTTTTTTGTGAATCAGATCATACATTGAATAAATCAATAATTAAAAAAATGTCGCAATTTTTCATCAAAAACCAATTATACTTTACAAGTAAAAATAATCTAACAAATAAAGATTTAACTGAAAATAATGCTAATGACATTAAAAATCAATTAGAAGAAATGATACAAAAAGTTGAAATCTATTTG